GAACTGAGGAAGTACGGAATAATCCGGAAATTACTGATTTTATTGTTCGGAAAAAGTTAAAATCCGATGACGCGCTATTTATATATAATTTTATCCAGAGACATCTCGAACATGTCAAAAAGATTAGACAATTCTGTGAAGAAATTGAAAATGGAACAGATTTGATTGATAGGGATTGATAGGGATTGCATTAAGTACGACTTCAAAAAATGGAGGTTCTATATTTGGCATGTATGTATGTATGTATGTCTACGATTTTCTTTAAAACTACTGGACGGATTTAAATGCGGTTTTTACTATCCTATAGAGCAATTCTCCAGGAAGGTTTTAGTACATAAAATATCGCGCTAGAACATCAGGGTACGAAGCAGTAAGGAAATATGCGATAATAATTATTTATATTAATTTAATAAAGCACTAAAAAAATATAAAATAAAAAATTTTTTTAAAAATATAACCGATTTTTCAAAAAAAAACTAAAAAGTATTTAAAAAATTAAAAAATCATTTATGCGCTCTATGAAAAATTGTTAATTAAATAATTTTGATTTCATACACTAAATGTATAATAATCGTACATTATTTATGTCAAGTTTCAAGTCATTTCATTGAAAAATGTAGAAGTTATAAGCAAATGACCGAAAAATGAGGCGTTCGCCCCACTGTGCGGCGGAACTCTTTGTAAAGCCACGAACCAGCCCTCAGGGTCACGTTCCCGCTCTGGTACCGACACGCGGTTTGTTAGTAAATATCGCCGAAAGGGCATAATTTTTGGTGTTAGCGTTGGCGGCCGGCATTAGGCGGGGGGCCCCGGGATAGTTTCGTTGGCTAAAAAGGTTATCGATTACCGCAGGTTCCTGGAGATCGTGAGTGGACACAGGCGAGCCTTCGGTAACGGCCGAAGTACGGGAATTGTATATCCGCCATTAGAGTCGTGCGGTGTACTCGTGTTTGCTTTTCACGTTCGCTTTTCCGATTTTGCGTTGTATTATTTCGCGTTCTATTTTGCGTTGTACTTGATGTAATTGCGTGCGGTATCCCGCGTGATATTGAGTGTCCTCGCGTACTATATTTTGCTTCGTTCTAAGTGTTATCGCGCGTATCATACCTTCGTGTTAATAGTCGTACTATATTTTGCGTTGTGTTTAGAGTCCCGCGCTTTCCGCGAGCGTATTATATCTTGGTGATAGAACTCTCCGCGCTGAGCGTGGCGCAGTACTAATTTCCTATTCGATTGTATTTTACTTTCAGTTCTCTTACTTGTCCTGCTAAATTCTGTTTAATGCTGACTACTACTATTTTGCGTTTACTTCCCTGTCATACGTCATTAGACTTCGTAATTAACGATTTCATCTAGAGTTCCGTTAATCCTCATTTTCGACTGCACATTAATTCAATGCTGTAATTTTACAAACTCTAGTATTCCGTATTCAGTTCCGATTGTTATTTAATTTTCGCTATTTAATCATTCTGTTCCGATTCATGTCTGATTTCCGCTATTCTGTCATTCGATTCCGTTTTCGTTGATTTGCGATTTCACAGTATTGCCAAGTTATAATAAACATTATTACTGATTATTATTAAATATCTGAGTGTTGTTTAACCGTCACCCCGCCGAAATTTTGCGCTGCCCATTATCAACCCCGCCCATCGCCTTTAGGTCGAGCTGGCCGATCTCTCGCACGTCTGACTAATTACGCTATCGTGCTTATTTTCGGGTTTTCGCGATTTTCGTATAAATTCGTGGGTGCGAGCTTACATGTCTGGCGCCTAACTTTGATTTTGAGTAGGGAAGACCGGGGCGAAGTCGGTCCCAAGGCGGAGTCGTTTTTGCAATTATCTCGAAATTTGCATATTGTGTGAACTCGCCATTAATACTGTAGCGCGGCTTTACAAAAACAAAGCTTTCTCTATGAGGAAACAAAATCAAGGAATTTAAGGAACCAAAGAATTTAAATCAGGAGACTGTGCAGATTATGTAATTAGTTCTCATTTGCCAATCCATCGATCAATATAATTATTATTAAGAAATTTTGCCGAAAACGAAAAGTCTTTGTGGTTTGGAAAAAAAAGTGTTTCTGAACTCATATTCGTATGACTTTTTTATCTACATGATGAGTAGAATATGTATCCAATATGTATCTAATTAACTATCTATTTTTGAAACATCTTATATGTACGAACTATTTCATTAGTCATCAAGAGAGAATATTAATACATTAATACTGTCATCATAAAATCAGTCTAAAAATTTTATTATCAAACACATTGTGTAATTCATCATATCTTATAAATATGCATGAAATAAGTCAGAGTTGCTTTTTTCAAAATGTGTCAACAAAATTTTATTAGACATTATTGGGATCTGACATATGTCGCCATGACATCTGGTGGTCGAAAATGAAAGTATTAAATGTAACAGATTTCAGTTATACGTGTAATCATACATAGAGTATTGTTGCGTCTACCGCCGCACCGGATCCTATCTGATCACTCACACACTCTGGCATTATACTGACTTTACGTTGTATTTTTATTAATATGGATGTTTAATTTTTTCCTCCGCGTTGTAAATCTACGAACAGAATTAATCGTTCAGTTCGCAGTTGTGAAAGTAAGGCTAAACAAACTTTAAATATTCGATTTCATTGCTTTCCTAACTCTAATGAGTGTTTCATACATGTCAAGCATTTATTTGGCAATTTAGAAAAAATTGATCGTTTCAAAGCTGGAAAAATGCATTAAAAATAAAGAAAGTGATCCTTTATGGCAGAAAGTGTTACCTATTCTGCACCATATTGGTCAAGCCCCGCCTACATCAGATCCCAATTATGTGTGTTTTAATTTTATACTAAATTTTATAACATTTTGAATAAACATTTCGAAATATATTGGCAAAATAAAACTTAAAATTAAATAAAGATCTTTGTTATTTGTTTTTATCTGTGAAGTGTGAAAAAGCTCAATTTTCTGTAATAACTTATTTTCAATAATTAATAATTAAAAAATAATTGACAATTTTAATTATAATTATAAAAAAATTACAAAGACAATATTTTGTGATGTTCTTTACTTTTAGGAAGCAATCGAATTGGGAATATTTCTACGGGCGCATCCGCTATGCATCAAAGTTTATGGCCTGTTTAATTTGGATAGCGAATTTACATTCTCGGTAATTAATATCCTCATTTGCTTTTATCATATTTTTCAGATTGTTTTTTCAAATTTAGTATAAATATTAGGACTACTATAAATACTGATATTTGATGTTAATTTTTGCAAACAATTAAAAATTATATTTTGGCTATTTGATTGTGCACAATTTGATTAATCTAACGGAAAAATCAATTTTTAATTACCTAAATATTTCAAATTTTATAATTAGAAAACATTTTTTTATGAAAAATTGTGAAATTAAAATAAAAGCTGTTAGATGTAAGAAACTTACAAGAAAAGGTTAACAAATCCCTAATTATTATAAACTTTGGATATACTGTAAATCAAAATAATTATTTTATAAATGTTTTTACAATTAGTTGATTTTATATCCATTTTTGTTAAATCTTTATCTAATGATGCATACACTTTTAAATATTTTTTTATGTACTTGGTGTATACATTTTTTGGAAAAACTTAAGACTAAGGGCAACCTCACCGACCCCGAGTGACCTTCAGAAGGTTTTCGCCGTCGCTCGTTATTCGTTACAAAATTATTAGCAAAAAAAGTTTGAAAAATATAGCAGGGTGGGAGAGGGATTCACGCATATACTTTGCAAGGCGAAGCGTATAAAACTGCGTTTATTTTTGCATGAATTATCAACTGTTACATTAAAAAACAAAAAGAAAATGATAGAGAATTACAATAAATTAAGTAGGTCTATATATTTTAGTATTATTCAGTATTAGTATTGTTCAGATATTTTTGATACATAGTTGCTATAATATTGAAAAAAGCTTCTATTCGTTCACAATAATTGTTACGTCGGCAAAATAAAAATTCTGTTAAATACCCTACATAATGTTCTTTTCGAGTTCCGTCGTGAAATATTTGCACGTGTTTCACACCAACAACGTTCAATATTTTGCGTGTGTGCACCACTCTCAAGATCTACAAAATTTATTTTATGATATACAGTTAAATGTATGTAGCCTTCGTTGGTTAGGCACTGATAAGATTTCCAACAATCTAATATAATTTTTATTTCCGGTTTTATCCATTTCTTAATAACACTAAGTAATGTGCTAGCAGAGCGATCAGGTACTGACTCGATAAATAATCGTTTAGTTGATACCTCAATTCCACCAAATATCCATTGCCCTTCTACGATTCGTCCTTTGTTGTACTTTCTTTTTCTTATTTTAGCCTCATCAATTTCATCAATTTCTCCTTTTCTTCCAATCATTTTTGAATTTGATTCTATCCACTGCACATACTATATAACTATCGAAAAATATGCATAAATAGTATCTAACAAAAATTCATAATAATATTAAAAATAAAAAAAAATATTGATAAATTACCTCACGCGACAGAAATTCGACCAGAATACTGGGTTTAGAAATGTCAAGTTTACCTATGAAAAAAGTATGACGTGGCGGTGTAATATGAAGAAAGTATGCAATGAATCGACATACTGTTTGTAAATCCAAACGACTTTCTGCGAACCACATATTATGAAAAATACTAAACTTCATATTACACTTCTTCTTGAATCGTTTTTTATGACAAAATCAAAATCCATCAAATTATTACATCGAGGACAACACGCAGAATTTGGCAGAACTTTGTGATCTATTAGATAATTAATAAGTTTATTTTTATCATCACATATTCCCAAAAACTCATAAAGCTTCATTTTAAGTCGTATCAGTCTTGCAACAACGATTGACAAAAGATGACTGATAGGGTGTTTACGATAACTAATCGGATCGCTGATCGGACTGAGCAGTGGCACTCCGCTAGACTTCTAAATTTCCCCAGACTAATCCGGATCAATGATCCCTGTCTCACAGCAGCACAGCACTGATCCCGCATGGTGGAAGAAAGTTGACGGAGAAATTATAATTTTATTGAAAGGTAATTCCAGGTAATCCTTTTTATTTGACATAAATAATTGTACGAAACATAAAATAAAGTTAGTAATAGTAATTTTAAATGTATTTATTTTAATATTTTTGGTCTAAACATTGGATTCCTTTTCATAAAATTAATCTATTCCAAAGTTTGAGGTTATATTGGAAAAGCGTAAAATTAATAAAAAAAACATTTTATTAATTATTAGATAGATAAAAACTGATGACTGATGATTGATGATTGATGATTGATGACTGATGATTGATCGATGACTGGACATCGCCTATAACGCATGAAGGTAGTTCGGAAGACACTATACTGTGGTAAGTTATAAATGTAGATAAAAATTATGCAATTTGTAATTATTCATGTTACAATATGAAAATAAGAATTTATTTATATCTTTGCAGAAAATATTGAATATATCCGTCGTGCGCAGACACTCGGCGACGGTGTACAAACGAATGCGGAGCTGATCTGTGCGGTTTGCGACAAGACTGACAAGCTGTCGATGTGCTCGCGTTGCTAAGTCGTCTTCTACTGCACCAAGGAACACCAGAAACGCGACGGGAAACGCCACCGGGAGTTTTGCGCGACTCACCCCGTGGCCGTCACGTCTACGGAGGAGTCGTTCTCTGCCACCTCTGCTACCTCCGCTACCTCTCTGTCGCTATCGTCCTCGCGAACGAGCGTTTTGACCCCAAGATCGGTGAGATCGAGATCCCGTCATAATTAATGAATTTTTTTATTGCAACAGGTTTTCACAACTCACACATATAAAAATCATATATATACCACATTGATTTTGCTCCATAACATCTTCATATGGATCCATTTTCAATCGTTTTATTTAACCTGGAATTCAAGTTATTTGTGTATATATTTGTATATTGTTATACGTATGCTCTTGCATGTTACAATGCCTAACTTTATGTAATCTAAGAAAATTAAAATATATAAGAAGAAAAAGAGGATTACTTTCAATTAAAAGAAAATAAACAAGAAATATTATTGAACATTTCTATACAATAAAAGCATTCTATTAAATTGATTTGCTGTAACAAGATCACAAAATGTAAAAATTAAAATTACAACAGATATGATATAAACTTAGGCATTCTAAAAGGCAAGAGAGCACGCATTGCACGTTTAACTTAATAGAATATTTTTTTATGCCAATTTTTATCTATCTAGCAATTAATAAAGATCTCACCGATCTTGGGGTCGGAACGCTCGTTCGCGAGGACAGCGGCAGAGGTAGCAAAGATAGCAGAGATGGCAGAGAACGGTTCCTCCGTAGACGCAACGGCCACGGGGTGAGTCGCGCAAAACCCGGTGGCGTTTCCTTGGTTCTCCTTGGTGCAGTAGAAGACGACTTAGCAACGCGAGCACCTCGACAGCTTGTCAGTCTTGTCGCAAACCGCGCAGATCAGCTCCGCACTCGTTTGTACACCGTCGCCGAGTGTCTGCGCACGACGGATATATTCAATATTTTCTGCAAATATATAAATAAATTCTTATTTTCATATTGTAACATGAATAATTACAAATTGCATAATTTTCATCTACATTTATAACTTACCACAGTATAGTGTCTTCCAAACTACCTTCATGCGTTATAGGCGATGTCCAGTCATCGATCAATCATCAGTCATCAATCATCAATCATCAATCATCAATCATCAGTCATCAGTCATCAGTTTTTAACTATCTAATAATTAATAAAATATTTTTTTATTAATTTTACGCTTTTCCAATATAACCTCAAACTTTGGAATAGATTAATTTTATGAAAAGGAATCCAATGTTTAGACCAAAAATATTAAAATAAATACATTTAAAATTACTATTACTAACTTTATTTTATGTTTCGTACAATTATTTATGACAAATAAAAAGGATTACCTGAAATTACCTTTCAATAAAATTATAATTTCTCCGTCAACTTTCTTCCACCATGCGGGATCAGTGCTGTGCTGCTGTGAGACAGGGATCACTGATCCGGATTAGTCTGGGGAAATTTAAAAGTCTAGCGGTTGAGTGCCACTGCTCAGTCCGATCAGCGATCCGATTAGTTATCGTAAACACCCATAGACTATGAGCACAAACATGCCGAATAGACCAAATACTACAGAATGTAAATAACCAAGGTCAAAAGCTAATAACTTGCTCGTAATCTTGCTTATTTACATTCTGTGATATTTATCCCACAATATATGTGCCCATTATATGTGAACAATAACGTTTGTACAATATAATCATACAATTACAATCATACAATTACGGTTAAAGCAGAGAATACTTTGTATTCATGCTTTCTAACATATAAAATTGTATATATATACTTTTCTATACCAATTATTCTCTGCTTTAACAAAAAGACTGTTTAATATAACTATTCACTGCTTTAAATGACTTTTCGGTAAAACTTTAGATTAAGAACGATTTCAATGACTTTGATATATGTTGTCAAGGACATTGTTAGCGCAGAACGAAGTAATTATCTTTGTTGTCAGCTGGAAAAGAGAGAATAATTTCTGGAGAAAAATAAATGTTCGAACACGCGTATTCGATGCTAACACTGTATATTCTTTATTCAACGTAATATGTATATTTAGGTAAGCGTTACTCTTGAGCGACAGTCAGCTCGCGACTAACTCACGCCAACCTCGCGCAGTGGGGCCTAAGCGTCCAAAACTTGGCCAAAAGTAAGAAAATTGAACTCGTAAACAAAACATGTTATGTACATACATACAATTAATAGAAAACATCCATATGTACGTTTCTGATACATATTTGTCATTTTTACTGTTGCTGTCATTGTTATTGTTTATTAAAACTTAATCTTTAAGCGAATCGTTTTTACCTTTATGGGTGCGTTTGATTTGGACGCTCACGCGCTGTAAGCGCTTATAAGTGTTACTCACGTCGTTCGCTTTGGAGTTGTAAGCGCTTACGGATCGACTAATGACGTCATCGTGACGTCATAACTTCTGCTGACAAACGCTTATTTCTGCAAGGTAGGGCAGTGTGAGCGTGATCAAGCGTAAGCGCTTACGTTCATTTCGGAACGCATTGTTAGCGGATTGCGTATCAACAAACATGTCGTCGAATCGAATTATAGACGGAAAAATTGTTACGATATTCCAATTTCCAGCATTTAACGCAGTGGCTTTTCCTACATTGAATATCTCACAAATGGATCTGTACATAATTTAAATATTAAGCAAGGAAAAATTATATGCTGTGACGTGGCAGTTTCGCTGCACCGTTGCAGCGCCAGCGCCCCGCCGCTGTCACAAGGCGTAGGATTCGCGACCTTTTTTGACCGAGGACGGTTCAATGAATCGCTGTGAGATCTCCAGGGGGCCTGTTCTAATCGCGTTGCGTTATGCTAATCCCTTATTCTATTTTGTATCATTTACGCGGCGCCTCACCAAGCCGAAAACAGGAGTTCCGGAGATCATGCGGAGGATCGAGGAGAAACGGAGTCGACAAGGACAGAGGCGAGAAATCAGATAACGGCAAGCGAATTTCGGTGATGCTTGCGGGCCGCCGAGCGCAGGGGAGCGCGAGAGGATACGTGCGCGGCGCGTGACATAGCGACGGGCGGATCCGTACAGGCAGGGCCCCGGGACGCCGGGGCAAAATCAGCTCACCTGCCCTCCTTACGCTACTGACCGGATTCCGAGATAGATGGCCACCATCCCCGGACCGAAAAGGAGAAACACGGAGGCAATCGCGTTCCGTCCGCTGCTGGGAAGAATCCCGAAAAATCGCCTCGCGAACGAAGGGCCGTTGAGCGCCCTGCGAAAAGCCGTGACTAACGACCCTGTGCAAGGAGACACCGCGAGCCTGCGAGCTCATCCCCTATTGGTCCGCGCGATAGCGTCGCGGGGCCGCGTACGCCCGGGGTGGGGTACGCTATAGATTCCGCCATCGTGCAAAATTTCGGGAGCATTCTTGAGCCGTTCTCGATCGCCGACGCACGTAACTTTCGCATTCTGCCTTTCATATTTGAGTCGCACTTGGAAGCGTGTAAGATTTCTGGCGGTAATCCGTTCGGCCCTTGGGACGACGACGAGGACCCTCAGGAGGGATTCGACCTACGGTAAGGTTGCCTCGGTAATCTTTTATGTAAAGCCACGACACTGCTCCCCGGGTCGCGCTCTCGCTCGAAATGATTCGCGATAATTAACGTATTCACCGACAAGGCGTCCTTAGCGATCGACAACGAAAACGAGGGGCACCGGAATGGTCTCATGGCCGTGGGATCGCGACCGAAATCTATAGACTCCTGGAGATCACGGTAGGCGCGTCAATGACGACGTTCGATATCGCGAGTGCGCCATTTCTCGCGCCCTTCGCGTTCACGCCCGCGTGTCTCGTTGTGCGTAGTAATTCACCCGGCCGAGCATTAATTGCTTGATCCCATGTGCGAATGTCGGACTTCTGCCAGAGTTGTCCGCATGGCCCAGAAGTGGCACAATATTGGCTGCCAAGACTTGATGGGTGGTACTGCCCCAGTACGGATAAACCGCTAGATCAGTATTGTGCCAGTCTCGGTGATCAGTACTCCTATGCAACCATATTCTGTTCCGAGGCGAGTCTCGTCTCAGTACTGACCGTGTATAAGGCCAGAAATGATATTGATCCACGGCCAAAAGTCGGCTCAGTACTGGGGATGTATTGGGTCGACTTAGAAAATTTTCGCTCAGAACCGGAGGTAACAACCGCGTGAAAGCAACACGCCGCAAGGGGACTTAACTTTTTGCTCGAACGGCGCCGAAGGTAACAACCGCGCGAAAGCAACACGCCGCGAGGGGACTTAGAAAGCTTTTTGCTCGAGCATTGCCGGAGGTAACGACCGCGGCGCGAAAACAACACGCCGCGAGGGGACTTTTTGCTAGAGCCCACGCCGGAGATAACGACCGCGTTCGTGCCTCTCGGTTACAAGTACCCCAAATTATAGTGTCATTCGTCTCGCTTCGCGTCTCCTCCGGCGCCCGTAAGCAACCGTGCGTAAGACCGTGCGTCGCCAATCGCTCGGCCGGCCGGTTGGGTACTATAAGAGGTTCGGTGCGCTCGGCGAGCGATACGTACAGACGTGCAAACGCGTTTCGCTTGGTCCGTACGAATGTGTAAAACGTTTGTGGAATACGTACACGAAAGGGGCGACGAAGTCGATGCGGGGAGCATCGTTTTCCAACCATATTTTGTTCCAAGGCGAGTCTCGTCTCAGTACTGACCGTGTATAAGGCCAGAAATGATATTGTTTTACGGTCGAAAGTCGGCTCAGTACTGGGGATGTATTGGGTCGACTTAGAAAAGTTTCGCTCGGGACCGGAGGTAACAACCGCGCGAAAGCAACACGCCGCGAGGGGATTTAGAAAGCTTTTTGCTCGAGCGGCGCCGGAGGTAACGACCGCGACACGAAGCAACACGCCGCGAGTGATATGGCAATCAGTGTTGTCCCCGTACTAGTACTCTGTGTCGGGCCAAAATTGGCGCCAAGAGTTAGCCCAATACTGGCAATCAGTGTTGT